CAAAAAAGATTTGGAAACCACAATTAGACAGTGATTTCCAATCTGATTTCCTTACTAAGTTTTTTAACTCAATTCTTTGGTGATAAATAAGAACAGTCCTCATAAAATAAAGAGTGATGGACAATAGAGCGATTGGTTTCATTTCTCTTGATTAGTTTGAGTGTCTCCGAAGTTGGTTAAGTAAGAGGTGAACAGGAAAAAATATTTTTCTGCATTGGTATATTTCTTAGAGTAAATTCTTTTGATGTGATTTGATGTGATTGAAATGTTTTTCTGCCTCTTTTCAGTTGCTTCTAATATATTCAGAACAAGGTGTATTTTTATGGTTTTTGAACATTGTTAGTCATGAAAATTTCTCACAATATTTCAGAATAAAAAGACTATCACATAATTTTATATTATTTTCCTACTTTTTCCTCTTTTTTCACAGTGATTTACCCTCTGTATAGACCCTTCCAACCTGTTTCCCTGTTTCATAACTGAAGAAATATCAGTGGCTCTAAATAGGAGAACTGTGCAAGCTCTGAAAATGATTTTAAAGAAATGCTTTGGACATTATATAAACACAGTTCCTATCTATTATTTGCTATATTGGCTCAGGGCTGTAGACAATGCTCACAAGTGACATGAAGCAATTATTCCAAATCATTTTAAAAGTGTGAACAGTCCCACTTAAGCCTATTCTATCTCATTGTTGCAATATGAGAAATACATAAACACACAACAAAAACACTGCAGCAAACAGGATTTATTACTAACTGGAATGCCCCAACAGAACAACACTTCTGATATGTCATTCACTGAACCTCTGAATCTATGAAACATTTGCATTTAACTGATGTTTTCTCTGTAGTTTCTTTACTTAGGTTCCCCTAATGCAGGGGTGTCAAACTGCCAGCCCACGGGCCAGACGCATCACGATGAAACCGCAACCAACCCATTGCCAGCAATGGGGAAAAAGCTCCGATACGTCGCGTGACATCACGTGACATTGCAAGTTTGACATGTCTGCCCTAATGGAAAGAATACAACTTTTAAACAAAAAAACCCCAATTTTCTTCATCACTTTTGCAAGTTGCAGTATGGCAACCATAAGTGAATTTTGCCTGTTCGTGAACAAGAATAGTTTTCTTGAATCCCAGTCTAAGTTTATGTACTGGGTTACAATTTGGATAATATGATCAGCTACAGATTTAAGAAACAAACAATTAATTAGAAAATAGATTCAAAGTAATGTCAATCAGAAGTAGAATTTGTCTTAGCATAATAAAAAATCATATATGGATGTATCCATGAAAACACCAGAAGACAAGCTGTGCTCAAAGAAATATTTACTTTTACTCAGAACTATTCAGTTAAGTATAATACTTACATGTAATTGTTCCTAATTATTTCCCATCTGAACACACTTTAAAAAAAAGAACTTATATTAAAAGTAGAATTGTTTTAACTAATTAAGATAGTTGGTGGTTACGGTAGTTATTTAATATTTCTCTTTCATGTCACAGGAAAGAGGTAATAATACATCTCCTAGCAACAGGAAGACAAAAAAGTTCAACATCTAGCAGAAAGAAGCAGTAACTGGGACAACAAGGAAAGCCATGAAAAAATAAAGAGGTAATCTCCTGAGAAACAAACACCCCACTCTTGGGAAGGAATGGGAACATTATTGTAAATATAGCAAAATATAACAAACACTTTTAATTTATCCATACATGACCTTTCCTAGGTTTCCTCAAAATGAGTTTATTTAAATTAAATTTTGATTGGGCTCATATTTGTTCAATACAGTCTGTCCTTGATCCCAAGTCTCGTTCTACCATAAGGACTCTTTAGATCAACATGCATACTGGAAATGTTGAGGGCATATTGTGCGTGCTTAGACAAAATTAGTCCTTTGGCAGAAGGTCTGCCTATTTCCAAAGTGGTTGCTACCACAAACAGTGGTAGTTTTTCTTTCCTATTCCAGGTTTTTGCTAGTATTGCCCCCATCCCCAAGCAGTTAGGCACATTTCCAAAATACAAGGCTGTAACCAAGTGCCTCCCTTTTTAAGATTATCTGCAGGGATTTGATGATCTTAAAACATGACTCGGAATAATTAGGAAATGGGAAGCATGCCCTTTCCCTATTTAATCTTTTGAACTTTAAAGAGTTAAAATCAGAGAGCTAGCAGACCAGGAGGAAGCAATAATGACACCACATTGCCTACTGCTACTCTATTAAGACTCTAATTTACCCAGAAGATATTTCCACCCTCCCATATTTTGTCCATTTTTTCCAACCCAAATCTGTTGCCGGCAGGGAAATGAAGAGCTGTAGTAGCAGCGTTCATTAATTGTGGGATAATGGGTCAGGCAGCAGAATCTCCCACTACTTTTGTTCCCAGGGTTTCTGGTCTCTCAGCAAAGCACAATATTGTTGACATCTGTAATGGAAGCCACATTACATTGCATTCATTTCTAGCATTGCCATTATTGTGTCCATAATCTCAGTTTCAACAGAGCTCAGCAGCAGGAATGCCTGGTGCTGAACTAAAGGCAAATAACCCATAAGATTTGGCCTTTATTTAGAATAAGTCTGAGTTGCCCTGAATGTAACAAATTCAGGATTTTACCATGTTCTCATACAGTTCAGCTGCATCCCTAGTTCCAACAAAAGTTAGTGTCTGAGCTTTCTCTTAAATACATAGGGAAATACTCTAATTTAAAATGTATTCCCTAAACAATATGTGGGACGTCCACTCATCAAAAAAAAATATTTCATCCACAAACATTTGAATTGAGATTAGTTTCCTGCCTACAGCAGGTATTAATGAATTTTATGAATTAATTCTATGATGGCTGTTAGCTACTGATAATGTAAATTTCCAATTGGTTCACCATGTCTTAAAGCTTTATGTTGAATTGATACAGGCATTAATGTTTCTGTTATTGTTTTGACTTTACTATTAACCCCTTTTGTGTGTGCATGTGCCCCAGTGAGAGATTATATCCAACCTCAGGAAAACATGAATGTATTTGATAACTATAATGCAAAATGCTTATGCCAAATTAATCTAATGGTCCTTGTGGAGCATGAAGTCATTTTGTTTATTTTATTTTTTTTACCTGGAATGTAGAGTGGATACAGCCAATTAATGTTTGTAAATAAGTTTCATTAGCATAAGCATAATAATTATGAAGCTTCAGGCTAGGCTTACTGGAGGCTGGACAAAAGGAAGACGTGTTCTCTTGTTTGTACTTATATCCTCCATCAGAAGGCATAGCCTTAAAATCAAGCATTGTCTAGCTTTTTGAATATCTTGGGGGGGCATTTCAACACGGGTCATCCAAAATTGTATTGTGATTCTGTAAATTGTTTCTTTCACTTTTCCATCAACAGACTTGACCATCTCAATTTACATTATTTATTACTTGATTCCAGAAATCAGTTTAGTCCAACCCCTTCCAATCACTCTAGTGTGTAGATCACATGACTCATTATATGTTTCTATGGCAAAATTTGAAAAGCATGTTGAAGTCAATTCTATTTTATTGCTACTTTTTAGTTTTCAAAAACAAAGATATATTGGAAAAATATTGTGATTGAAAAATCAGTCTTTCTGATGCTGGAAAAAGTAATTTTATATACATGTAGGCCTAAGTAGGGTGTTTTTTTTTTGTTTTTTTGTGCAATTTTTGTCACAGATGCTAAGAAAGTTAATCAGCTAGTAAGTCTTTCTTCCAACCTCCCATTTATTCTCCTTTCTAATTGCCCATGTTCTCCTTTGCCTATTCAGATATCTGCTAACCCTTCTTAAGACTGAATTTATATTTGATATTTGATATCAAATTTGATAGTGGACAAGATATGCCTTTAGCACAGTTTAAACAGTGCTAAAACTCCAGTGCACTGTTTCTTAAAGCATATTTCTGTCTGCTGCTGGTTCAATCATTAGTTCTAGAATTCCAAACACCCTGTCGTATTTCAAGCACCAAGCAAGATGTCCCATGCTAGAACTTAAAACTATGTTTAGCAGTGCGTTATAGGGAAACCTCAGTCCATCAAGGAAAGCAAGGATGTTCTCAGATTGCTTTTATTGTTGAAAAAAATAACAAGGGTTCAGGAATAGTAGCACAAATGGACCATCAAATTCAAGGACCATGTAGGCGGGATTAGCCTGGTTTAGAAGGACCATGTAGGCGGGATTAGCCTGGTTTAGAAGAAGCTAGAAACAAACTGCTGGTCTTGGTCCTGTCTCCTCTTCTCTGGCAAGAAAAACGGGATGCATTAAGACCCAGCAGAAATAAGAGGTACCACAAATGGGGTTCCCTCTCCTGGTGCCTGTGTCTTACATGCACACACACACACACACACACACACCCTCGGGGAGGGAGGAAAAACAGGTGCTTTGCCAAGACGTAAGCAGCCTCTGAATCCTGCCACTGATTTGGTATCTCAAAGTCCAACCCTTTGGCACACAGTTGTCCGCGAGCAAAACTCCCTCTTGCCTCGGATAGCAGCTTGCCCTCGCCAGGTGATTTCTGGAGTCCTTCTGCTCTCTGGGCTCGGTTGCGACCGTTCCTGGCCTTGGAGGTGATTTCCCCGGGCCTTCCCTTAGTGGGGGGACTCCTCAGCTCGCCCCCCATCCCATTCCCCACTGTAGAGCGCCGTCTGTGCGCGCAGGGCGCGTTTGGAAAGAGACAAGGGAGCGCGTGCCCGGGCGCGCGCGTCCGGACTGAGAGCGCGCCCTCCCTGCAGCCGGAGAGGTTTGCTCGCTGGCTGCTTCTGCCGCTGCGCCCGGCTAGAAGTTTGGCTTGTCAGCTCGGCTTCCTCAGGCAGCCCGCGAGAGTTTCCTCCCCCTCCCGCTTCCCTCGTCAGCTCGAAGAGCCGGAGGCGGGGGTGGCAGCGGAGAAGCCGCCGCTAGCAGCTTTGTCCTCTCGTTTCCTCGCAGCTTCTGAACAGCCGGCGAGTCCCGGCGGACCCCCAACGCCGCTGCCGCCGCGCCTCCAACCGCAGCATGCTCAAAGTCACCATGCCCTCCTCCGCGTCTTCGTCGCCTCCTTCTGCCTCGGCGACCCCCAGCGCCACCGGCACGCTCGCCTCTGCCCCTACCTCGGGCCGGGTCGGAGGTGCTGCCACCGGCGCCGCTGCCGCCTCCGCTAGCCCGGATTTCTGGATCGACGGCTCCAATAGGGACACCCTGACGGATTATTACGACCTGGAGTCAGAGCTGGGACGGTAAGGAGGCGAGGGGGGTTCGTGGGGCGCTGCCAACAAGGAAGGGAACGGGAAGGGGGGAGCCGGGGCAGGCGCAGGCGGAAGAAGACACCCCCGCAAGCCCCGTTCTTTTGGGGGGGCGCGCAAAACCCGGGATCGAGCAAGCTCCTGGGATGCAGGGTGGGAGGCTGGCTGGGGGTGCCGGGATCGGTGGCGCTGGCCAGTCTTCGGTCTGCTGGGGCGGAGGGTGTTTTTACGCAGAGCAGCTGCCTAGACAAAACGGCGCGGCTGACTGATCCCCGTGCGCCCCGTGCAAAAGAGAGAGGGGGGGGCCGGTGGTGCAGGGCGACTGTCCCTTTGGGGCAATGCAGGTCGGGGCGCCCTCCGCTAGCAGAGTGCAGGGGAGCGCGGGCGGGGGAGCACCGGTCGAGGCAGACAGAGAGCGCGCTGATGCCCAGAAGCCGATGCCTGCACATTCCTAGACAGCAGTGGAAAGCGGGGTGGCGCGAATTCTAGTTTTCCTTGGAGCAGCCGTCTCCAACCGGGCGCCCTCCGGATATTATGCTGAGGCTAGAACTTCCAGGATTTCCCAAACATAGCATAGCCAAAGGCAGCAATATGGAGGGGTGGGTGGGTGGGGAATATGCCATTTTAATCCGATTAAAGATCACCGGACTGGAGAAGGTGGGGGTAAGAGAAATGATGTGGGTGTGCAGCTGGTTGTGGAGGGAAGAGGGTGCAGTTGTAGAGCAACTGAGCAGACCTTGGCTTAAAAGAGACGCACGTTGAAGGAAAGGCTGCAGAAAAGGCTGTAAGAGTCTTATAAGCATCACTGTCCAAAAGAGGGATGGCTCACCGATATCTTGTTTGCACTTGCTGGCATTGGAGAACTTGCCTGATTTGCAGAGCAATTCAGACTTGGTTGAATATCCTGGGCTGGTTTCTTTACAGTCCTCTCCAGTGCTGCTGCTGGAGATCCTTCCTTCCATTCTCCCCCTAAACAGCGTGGGAAGAAAGGAAAGGGGGCTGAAAATGGTTCAGTTACTCTTCCCCAGTTAATGTTGCCCCTTTCTTTACATGAGTGGGTGGTAATACTGAAAGGTGCACCATCTGTACTTGTCTAATAGGAAATGAAAATCTGCATGCTGTTTTAAAAATACATGTATAATACAAATTAGGGTAATCAACATCATTTCATCCTGTTAAACTTATTGTTTTATAAGCCAGACAACACCGAAAACTGAACCTAAGTGCAAACGTATTGTGGTTGTGCCAGTAGTTGTTAGGAAAAGGGAGATAACCACTTAACACAATAAGATGCAAGAATAATAAGCTGATGTCCCCACCCTTCAGAGAAATGAACAGCCCAGCTAGCATTAATTATCTGGGAAGAGACTGAGCTTCCAGCCTCATCTTTTCAAATGTAAAGAACTGTTTTGCAAATACCATCTCAAGATCTTCATGATTTAGCAGTAACAGCTGCTGAATACTTATGGTTTGACAAAATATTTTCATGCATGTTAACAGAGTAATTTTGAACATTTTGTGCTTCTAAGGCTTTTCAGCTCAAAGTCTAATCAGATAAAGGTGTAAAGTTGGAAACCAGATGGCTTCATTCACACATTCATGTTCCTAATAATTAATATTATTTGTTTTAAATTAAAAGTTCAATCATGCTATTGTAAAAATGAGACATATTAAACTCTATTGTCTTCAAATTTTAATTTTTCAAAGACTTACATTTTTACTTAAATATGGAAAACCCACAAAAACAATAATATATGACTTAGCTGGAAGAAACAATGAAAGAGACAGCCTTAAATAATAGTGCACTTTTAGTATGGTAACTTCACTCAGATTTGGGAATGAGTACATGTTTATGTGATTTTTTTTGTAAATAACAATTATAAAAGTTAGGAGGAATTTCAGTCGGAGCATGATCGATCTATAATATATGCTATTAGGGGTGCAAAAATAATGAAGTGAGAATGGTGAGGAAGACTGAAGGAAAAATAAAGTATCATGTGATAACATGTTCTAAAAAATCTTGGAGATCTATAATATATGGTTGGTATTAAAATCTAAGATAAAATTATTTATAGTGCTCAGAGTAGTTTTAGAAGACAAAATAAGAAAATATAGGGTTAAATGATAAGAAAGCAGGTTTGCAGTATACAGTAGGAAGGATGTACTAGCAGTAAGCACTGTTCAATAATGGAACAGCCTACTTGGGGGCAAGTGAATTCTTTTCAATTAAACAGACTGACTGCCCTTCAGATATCTGAAGCCAGATATCATGTCTCCTCACAGTCTTTTCTTCTATACCCAAACTTCTCAAACTTCATCATTTTTTCCTCCCAGCTTCTTTGTCATCTTATTTCTCTCTTTTGGATATGTTCCACTTTGTCAATTTCCTTCCTAAGATGTGGTGCCCAGAACTGAATACAATAATGTAGTTATGGTCTGACCGTCTAGAATAGAGAGAAATGATTAATTATTTGGGTCATGACATTATACTTTTATGCAGCCTAAGACTGCATTTTCTTCTTTGATAGCTGTATTATACTGTTGGCTCAAGTTCAGCTTGTGATCCACCAAAGTACTCAGATCTGTTTTGCATCTCCTAATATTCATTATGGTCTTCCTATCCTTTATCCATACCTTAGATCAGTGATGGCGAACCTTTTAGAGACCGAGTGCCCAAACTGCAACCCCAAACCCACTTATGCATCATCGGGTGCCGGGTGGGTGTGGCCCATTGGCTGGGTGTGGTCCATTGGCTGGGTGTTGCTGCGGTGGTAACGGCAGACTGGGTGGGACTAAAAAGTTCAATCCAACTTTGCAAGATCTGTTTTTTTCCCGCAAGAAGTTGAAATTGACTGATTGATTGAACCTTTTTTTTGTACACGGCGGCGGAAACCTAAAGCGAAAAGGTTTTATAAAACCCAGTTGAAGGCCTAGGACTGGGGCGATGGTGCGGGTGCCCACAGAGAGGGCTCTGAGTGCCGCCTCTGGCACCCGTGCCATAGGTTCGCCACCACTGACCTACATAAACCAAAGCTTTGAGGGTTTTTTTAAAATCATTTTTAAGAATGTAAAGGACCCTAAGACCAAAATGTTTGAAATCACTGGTATACATGTATGAAGACAGGTAGCATTTGGGAAGACATCTCTAAAATTTACACAAAAGAAATACTTCTTTTACATCAGAAGAACAGAGTAGCAAGCCAACATAAAAATTTAAATATAGATTGTAGGGTCTTCTGTTCAGCAGAAGCTCAAAGATTATTTGTAGTTAGATGATTTTTGTTATATTGCTACAGTGTAGAGAAGGTGAAGTAATTGTTCTAGAGCAAGGGTGTCAAACTTGCAACATCACGTGACGTATTGCAATGTATCTTGACTATTTTGCCATTGCCGGCAATGGGATGGGCGCCATTTTGTTATGATGCATCCGGCCTGTGGGCTGGCAGTTTGACACCCCTGTTCTAGAGTTAAAGTCTTTTCTCTTTTCCACATGTCAGGTGGTGTGTGTGAACCAATCCATGTATACCTCTTTGAGTTTCTATGTCTGTATGTATCAGATTATAACTGATGTGATGGTTACAGCAGTTTTCTATTCTGGGCAAGAAGAGAGTGATCTACATTGTAAATGCCAAAAGCACATCTGTGATATCGTTGCCTGATTACATTTGGAATCATACAGGCTTCTAACTTTTCTTCAGATCCATTTTATAGACTGGTGGATATGAATAGTTTGGTGAATTTTCAGATGTTATAGCTTGCAGTGCCGTCTACCAATATGATATAAATTCTTATAAATACTGAATTAGAGTTTTGTGTTTGTTCTTCCTGGTCATGATTCAAATGCATCTAGAATTTTAATATTTCATCCAGGAATACTAAAGCTCCTTTTTCCCCACTAATGTCCATCCATTTGTTTTTATATTAATGGTTCTTAAATTGGTGAGTGGTGGATCCACTTGGAGATTGCCAAACAATAAGAATTTCGGCTTTTGTATGTGTGAGTAATGACATTTGAAGACCAGGAAAGGGGTAATTTGGTCAATTTAAGAACCTTTGTTCTGGAATATCCATGTGATATAAATATCTGATTATTGTTGAAATCCTTCCTTTAGAGCAGGGCTCTTCAAAACTGTGGACTTCAGTTTCCAGAATTCCTCAAGCATACATTTTGTTTATTATTCTAAGAGATAAGTGAACTTTGGCAACATTTACACAATATTCCAAGTTTTTCTAACCTAATGCTTTAAATGGGTTGCATCTCACTTCTGGAAGACACCAGTTTAGGAAAGGTTTTTATTAATCTTGTTTCCTCTCAACAGTGAATCTCTAGTAACTGTGGTGTTGTTTTGTTTTGCTTTTTGCAAATAGAGTGTGATGTTCTTCTGGCATCATAAGAATGTCTGTTTGCTGAGTAGCTTGTTTCCATATGTCAGGAACTGAGCTGACTCAAGTGTATTGTATTGGTTATCTTTAATAGACTATTTTGACATTGGAAATATTGATATAATTGACACATACATATAAAGCTATGAATAATAACTTTATTTGCTTTCCTGGAAGATGTTGAAAACAGAAATTGACCTAATTGCATTCAGGTTTTCCCATTCTTTTTTCAAAGGTGAATTTTTTTTTACATTAACAATACATTTTGCTTAATGACAAGACTTCCCTACTTTTTCCACATTCCTACACATATATCAATATCACCAAGCTTAGTACAGCAATACTCAAACTATTTGTGAAAGCCATGTGTTGAAGAAATTCCTACAACTGATGCAGAAGAAAACTATTTAACTAGTTTATACAGTAGATCAGTGATGGCGAACCTTTTAGAGACCGAGTGCCCAAACTGCAACCCAAAACCCACTTATGCATTGTCGGGTGCCGGGTGGGTGTGGCCAATTGGGTGGGTGTGGCTGCAGTGGTAACGGCAGGCTGGGTGGGACTAAAAAGTTCAATCAATTCCATCTTTGCAAGATCTTTTTTTTCCCTGC